ACACTCTGTATAGCATTTCAGAATATATGTAAAACCTTAAAAGTACATAAAGACTTTTGCATTTTTCTTTTTTTTAAATTTGATTAACTAATTTATTTTTAGTTTTCAACATTCACTTCCACAAGATTTTGAGTTCCAAATTTTCTCCCCATCTCTTCTCTCCCCCCACCTCAAGATGGCATTCATTCTGAATACTCCTTCCCCCTGTCTGCCATTCCCTCTGCAATCCCCCCGTCCTATACCCTTTCCCCCTACTTTCCTGTAAGGTAAGATAGATTTTCATACCCAACTGAGTGTATATGTTATTCCCTCCTTAAGCCAAATCTAATGAGAGTAAGATTAACTCATTCCCTCTCACCTCCTCTGTTTCCCCCTCCACTGTAAAAATTTTTTCTTGTCTGTTTTATGTGGTAATTTACATAAATTTCTATAAATGTCAGATAATTTATCTCATTCTGCCACTCCCTTTCTTCTCCCAGTATAATCCTCTCTCACCACTTAATTTTATATTTTAGATATCATCCCTTCATATTTAACTCACCCTGTGCCCTCTGTCTATGTATATACCCTAATACTGAAAAAGGTCTCATGTGTTACAAATATCATCTTCCCATGTAGGAATGTAAACAGTTCAACTTTAATAAGTCCCTTATGATTTCTCTTTCCTGTTTATCTCTTCATGTTTCATTTGAGTCTTGTATTTGAAAGTCAAATTTTCTATTCAGCTCTGGTGTTTTCATCAAGAATGCTTGAAAGTCCTCTATTTCACTGAATGACCATTTTTTCCCCTGAAGGATTATACTCAGTTTTGCTGGGTAGGTGATTCTTGGTTGTAATCCTAGTTCCTTTGAGCTCCAGAATATCATATTCCAAGCCCAGGTCCCTCAAAGTAGAAGCTGCTCAATCTTGTGTTATCCTGATTGTGTTTCCACAATACCTGAATTGTTTCTTTCTGGCTGCTTGCAATATGTTCTCCTTGACCTGGGAACTCTGGAATTTGGCTATAATATTCCTGAGAGTTTTCCTTTTGGGATCTTTTTCAGCAGGTGATAAGTGGATTCTTTTAATTTCTATTTTGCCCTCTGGTTCTAGAATATCAGGGCAGTTTTCCTTGATCATTTCTTGAAAGATAACATGTAGTTTCTTTTTTTGATCATGACTTTCAGATAGTCCAATAATTTTTAAATTCTCTCTCCTGATCTATTTTCCAGGTCAGTTGTTTCTCCAATGAGATATTTCACATTATCTTCTATTTTTTCATTCTTTTGGTTTTGTTTTATAATTTCTTGTTATCTCATAGAGTTATTAGCTTCCATTTACTCCATTCTAATTTTTCCAGTGAGCTTTTGGATCTCTTTTTTTATTTAGCCAATTCTGCTTTTGAAGGCATTCTTCTCCTCATTGGCTTTTTGGACCTCTTTTACCAATTGCGTTAGTACATTTTTAAGGTGTTATTTTTTTTGCATTTCCCTTAGCAAGCTGTTGACTCATTTTTCATGGTTTTCTTGCATCACTCTCATCACTTCCAATTGTTTCTCTACTTCTCTTTCTTGATTTTCAAAATCCTTTTTGAGTTCTTCCATGGCCTGAGACCAATTCATATTTTTTGGGGGGCTTTGGATGTAGGAGCTTGACTTTGTTGTCTTCTTCTGATTGTATGTTTTGATCTTCTTTGTCACCAAGGTAAGATTCTATAGTCTGAGTTGTTTGTTTTTTTGTTTGTTTTGCACTGTTTGCTCATGTTCCCAGCCAGTTACTTGACTTTTAAGCTCTCTCTGCTTCCATTGTGGAGAATGTACTGTCCCAAGTTTCAGGAGTTTTATGCAGCTGTTTTCAGAGATACTTCTAGGGACCTATATATTTTCAGTTCTTCCAAGGTGGTATGATCAAAGGTGAGGAGTTTACTCCTTTCCTGGCCTGTGCTCTGGTGTATGAGTGACCACAAGTGATCTTTTCTACTTTGGAACTATAAGGAGGATTTCCTCTCCACCACCACCACAAGCTCCATCACACTAGCACTCCTCCTTGCCCCAGGACTGCCATCCAGGACTACAACCCAGATCCAACCATGGGCAAAGCAAGAAAATCCTGCCTCAGTGAGAGCAAAGAGATCGCTGCAATCCTCCTCTGATCAGACACTGGATCCCCCCCACTGTCTATGTGCTGAGAGCTCTACAAGCCGCCCCCACCCAGGGACTACTCTAGGGTTGGGGCTGGACCACGTTCCTTTCTCATAGAGGTCAGACAGACCTTTCTTACTGACCTTCTAATTTGTCTTTGGTGTTTGTGGGTTGAGAAGTATGGAAACTGCTACAGCTACTAGTGATTCAGTCTCCTGAGGCCTGTTCCAGGTTCGGTGAGGCCTGGCCTTTGCCTACGTGGCCCATGCTGAACTGTGCTCCTTTCCCAGCCTGGCACAAGAGACCTTTCTTATCAACCATCTAGGTTGTCTTGGGCTGGAAATTTGTTTCACTCTGTCTTTTTTTGGGTTTGCTGCTCTAGAATTTGTTTAGACCTATTTTTAACAGGTATTTGGAGGAGTTTGGGGGAGATTTCAAGTAAGTCACTGCTTTTACTCTACCATCTTGTAGACTGGCTTTCTGCCTAGAGACCTGTAGAGCTAAAGGCTTGCCCACTGTGCTGGAATGGCCTGGCCTATTCATACCTTGTGCTGAGGGTTCCATAGCTGGTATTTTGCCTTCTGTACTAGAGCTGGAGGTGTCACAGCTGTCCTGTTGTGACGCTGGCCTGCTGAGTGAGGACCACAGGGCTTATCTGTGCTGTGAAAGAGCTTGCCTGGACACTGCCTGCACTGGGCTGCACTCTCCCTTTTCCCAAGTGAGGCAGACATTTCCTGAAGTTCTTCTAAGTTATCTTGGGCTGGAAAATTGTTTCACTCTGTCTTTTTGTGGGTTCTGTCATTCCAGAATTCGGTTAAAGGCTTGATTTAGTGTTGTTTCAAGAGAAATTGGGGAGAGCTCAGGCAACTTCCTGGCTTTTCTCTGCCATCTTGGCTCCACCTACCTATAGAACTGTTTTTAAGGAAAGTACTTTTTAAACTACCTAGCCTTCTGTAAATGTGAGCTAAGACAATAGTATTGATGATGATGATCATACTTCCTATTGAGGCATTAGCTATACATAAGGAATCAAAAAACACAAATAGATCTTGATATTTCAAATAAAATGAATACTTTCCCCACTAAATTATAAAAAGTTTTCCCATTAATTATCATTGAACAATCTTCATAAAATATGTAAAACAGACTCTTACAAAAGAAATTAATAAGGAAGTGATTTTAGAGTGTAACATCTGATTAAACAAAAATTCTTTATCTTTAAAAATCTAAAGATAATTGAATGAAGTTAACATCATATAAAATAGAATCTTAAATACAAACTTGCTTAAAATATGAGATATTAATTATTTTGTTTTATCTTCTATTTGGCCAAACAGATGGTAATGGTTTTTACACAGTTTTGTTTTGTTGTCTTTTTATTTTTCCTTGAAAACGACAAAGCTCCTTTTCCCACTTTGTCACAGCTGGTTACCAATCAATCTCAATTCACGGTACAGTGATGAAAGCACATGTTGTCCGGGGGCCAAATCTGATTGGGTTGCATTTTTCAGCAGTGTTTCATATCAGAATAATATGTGTCTGTATGGCAGGGATTGTCAGCACACGATTGTACAACTGTCATTAATCAAAACTGGCAACAATGAATGCATTCATAGAAACCAGACTGCCAAATTTCACAATCAAAATCACCCAATTTTTATTAAAATTTCCTCACTAGAAATGTTTTTTCATCTGTTCTATCTTATTTTGTTGTTGTTAATTAAATGCAGACTCTACCCATTGCATTTAGACTATGAGTAATATTATATCCCACTTGAATGTTTTATCTAAATGTGCTCCAGTTTTTAAATGTATTTCTCAACTCAATAAAGGAGACTGAAAAGCAATTTAGGGTGAAATGTTATGTGTCCTAGACTCCTTAACAAACAAACACAATTAACAGCTTTAGAAACCAACAAATGTATGTAATGTTTATGCACAAGTGTAATTATAAATATATGCAACATCATTAGCAACATGTTGTATTTACCTTTGCCTATTATTGAGAGATAAACAATAGTAGTCATATAATTAATATATACTTAAGAGATTGAACACATAAATTTCTTGGTGATGTGATGTTAAGTAAATCATTCTTAGAATGAGAGAGAGAGAGAGAGAGAGAATGAGAATTGAGGGATGTACTATTGCCAGTTCATACTGGTTTGAGAAAAGTGATTGTTAAATTTTCAGCATATACATATATTTCTATACACCTTAGAAACTGGGAAATACTACAAACAGGACTTTTTTTTTGTTGTTGATTGTCTAGACTTAAGAAATAGATAAATGTTAAAAATGCAGCTTAAACTAAAATATGTCTTACATTGTTTTTTTTTCCACAGAGCTGGGTTTTAATATTTACCAGCAGTCATACATACATACATATAATATTTATATATTACATTATATTTGAATATATTATAATAAGTAATATTAATAGTTTTAAGTGGCATTAATATATTTGGAACATCTTGTATTATTTATATACACTACTCACCCTTGTGTATGAACATATTGTCTCCCACATTGGATTGTGAAGCTTATTAAAAGCAGAGACTGTTTGCAATTTTTTCTTTGTATTCTGAGTGCTTAGTGCAGTATTTGGCATATGGCCATACTTACTAAATGCTTGTTGGTTTATTAATTAATTGATAATGTCCTAATATGGCATGAATATGCTAAAATGAATTATATTGCTTTAAAAGTTTTTTGACTACTTCATGATGCAGTGAAAATCTCATGACAATTACTGAGTAGTGTCATTCGACTTTACATTATTAATCATACAAATATATGTACTAGATACAATCCCATTATACTATCCAAATGAGAAACTTTTGTTTCCTCAAATCACATAGAATTATTATTCTGATTTAGATTCGACATCAAAGATGATTACACATTGAGGATTAAAAAGGCCATGAGTTCAGATGAGGGCTCCTATACGTGTGTTGCTGAGAATCGGGTTGGAAGAGTGGAAGCATCTGCTACTCTCACTGTTAGAGGTAAGTGACTTAGCATTTCAAAAACAACTTTAATCAGGAGACTAATGTGTAACTAATTTGGTAAGTATGCATATTATGTAACTTTCAGATTATGCTGTATACATTTTCTTCCTTATTTAAGACTTTTTACTCATCTGTTTTATGATTAGATTTAATTGTACATATTCTAATATGTTATTTTTCATTAATTGAAATTAACTGAAATAACTATTCTCAGGTTTAATTTCTTATTCAAAAGAACATTCTTTCAAACATTTTAAAGACATTTATTCATATTTAATGTGTAAGCTTATTTTATTTAAAAGGAGAATGTCAAAAGTAAATATGATATTCCGTTAACTAGTGCTACCAATATTTAAACTAATTGCCATTATTCCTTCTATTTCAGCACTTACTATTAAGTTATTTTTTGCCATGGATCAATAGTTATAAAATTTTTTGTTTTCATAATTAATTGGTCTCTTGTATAATTTTTGAATATCATAAAATTTTAAAAGATGAAATAGAGTATCTTATGATGACTTTCACTTTTCAAAAGTCATGAATTATCCCTGTTATACAATATATTTATCAAGTCAGTGAAAATACTTATGAAGGAGAGAAAACATTATCGTAAGTGCTTGACCTTAGAGTGAACTAGAATCAATTAACTGTCCCCTAGGTATAACCATTTGACCCATATAAGAAAAATTAAATATTCCAGGGTACCAAATGAGTGTCGTTTAGGCAGTTACAATAGACACAATTACTTTCGCATAACTTCACACAGAATTGCAAATATATTTTTATCTCTCAATCACTCCTTGAAGTTTACTAATTGATGCCTTCTCCATTCATGTTATTTGTGTTTAGGTAAAGGGGCCATCTAAAAGGTAGTGGATATGACTTCATTCTTCTAGCTTAAGTTGTACTTCTTCCCTAGCCACTGAATCCCAATCACATACCTGTGACCACTTTTTTCTTCCTTGTGCATATTTGTATGCTCAAAGCCCTCAAGAAAGATGAAGAGAATACGGAGGTTACATTTTTTTTTTTCTGTATACAAGGTACATAGTGGTAGTTCCAGTACTAGCACTCTGGGCTATTTAAAGAGCTGAATGCTGCCATTTCTATCTTTTTCTCTGGAACAGATAAGACTTTCTCTTCCTCTTGGAGGCTGAGACACACCCCCTTTTTAAATATGTTAAACAATGTCATGCCATATTAATCAGTACTCTTATTTTCATTCATTCAACTATTTTTCTCACCCTGTTGAAATCCAAATGTGGTAGTTGATCTAGAAAAAAAAAAGAATAAACTATTTTCCTACTTTTTTTTTTAGTGAATATATTTATGAAAAGCAACTGAGAATGTACATCCTTCTGGACAGGTGCTTTTTTTTTGCCATGCAAATGGCATGGATATCAGAATTTTTGATCTAGGAAATACTTTTTAGAGACCATATAGTCGAAATTTCTCCCTTTAGAAGCAAGGAAATTAAGATCCTAGAAGTAAGTGATTTTCATACATGACTAGTTAGTGACAGATAAAAGACTAGAATTTAGGCTTTCTGAATTCTATTTCTACATCTAAAAATATACCTCACTCCCCTTTTTTCTTTAAAATGTCTAGTCAGTGTTTATTGCTTAGGTTATCTGAAGATTCTTTTCTTTTTCTTATCAGTCATAAAAGTCTTTGTTCAAAAGCTTGACAAAACAATGTGGATGTCCTAATTGTACACAAAGTAAATTTTCCTTCTTTAAATTATTGGAAAATAGAAAGATAACTAGCTTCTCACTTGGAAAATGTTTGCCAATGAAATAAATGGTAAGAAAATATGAAGTGTTTATTTCTTTAAATAATCATTTAATATATAAAATGTTTGTGACGGAACTCTGGAGTCTACTTGCCATAGCATCTAATCACTTTTTATTTTCTATTGGAAAATTTTGGAATTAGTACTACGTTTTACAGAACTCTTTTTTTTATTTGTGTTAGCTAAATTTTACCCTATACCATTAAACTACTAAAAACAAAGAGAGATTTTATCTCTAAGGATGAAAAAAAACTTTTTATTTTAGTGCTACCTATTCTTATTAAATTACCTCTCCAAATATTCTTGTCCCATCACTGTGTTGTGAAGTTTAATATGAATGGAATGCTCATTTTTTCCTAAGAATTCATCTATGTCTAAAAGCTCCAAAATAAGAGTAAGACAAAAATTTCCACAAATCTGTACTTACCAATGTCTCTAACTACATAAATAAAGTATATATTGTTTTAACTTTAAATCCCAAGATATTTCAGATTAGTAGAATGTTTTGATTTTTTCCAGTGTAACATTGAGAAAGGTTAGCAAAGAAAAAATGTCATTATCTTTGTTTCCCTTTTTATACACACAGTAGCATACTTGGTCTCTATAGGTTACAAGGATCAATTGACTAAAGAGGCCAACTTCCATTTTCATATGTTTAATTCAGGGACACAGTGCAATTTAATTTGCTGAATTTTTAAAAAGGCAACCTGCTAGCGTTCTCTGCAAAACAATGTTATGCAGCAAAGATAAATGTTTTTTCAGATAATCCATCTGCTAAAATATTATGATGAGGTTCATATTAAACAACATGAGAAAAGGTAGTTTTATGTCCAAAAGGTAAGAATACCATTATTTTTAAATGTGATTTTTAAAATGAACATAAGCATGAACACTTAACTAAAAATAGTTATGCTTTTTTTTTCCTTTGCCAATTGGAGCCTTGTACTGTGCAACATTAACTTTAGTCATAGATCTCCTAACATTAACATTAGTATGAAATTGTGGTTTTCCCAGTATGGTTGTTTCTCTTTGACTTTAAAACAAGTAATTAAATAATCCAATCAAACTGGTTATTTGGTAGTGTATATATACACAATTTGGCTAAATTCCTCACCGATTTTGTTGGATCATTGGATCATAGATCAAGACTTAGAAGGGACACCAGTCATCATCTAGTCCAACCTTCTCATTTTGACATTGAAGAAACTGAGGCCAAGAGGAGTTAGGTCACTTGTGCAAGGTCACAAGGGTAGTAAGTATCAGAAGTTGGAGTCAAATGCATATCCTCTGATTCCAGAGCCATTGTGCTTTCCATTGGCTCATTCCAGTATGTAGATTGATTTCTCTTAGAATTAGTTTATCATCTTAATAAACATCAGAATCATGCTTGTGCTTTGAGATCTTGTCTAAATTCAAGTGAAAAAGAACTAATTTTATCTTTTCAATTGTTATTTTTTGCCTTCAAAGGGATATTGTAGTGCAGAGCATACAAGTGCTTATAAAACACTGGAGAACCAAAAATGTTTGAAATTCAGAGTGAAATGAAAATGAAAAGAGCATGGAAATAAATGGATCAAAACTGACATGAACTGACATTCATCATATACATTGGCAAAAAGATGGAGGAATCCCATTGCTAAATCTCATAACCCCATACCAGCTATTTATATCACAATAGTAGTTATTTTCATTTGTGTTTAGGAGAAGTGAAAAGATAAATAAAAGGACATTGGGTGAGAGCTATCTTTTCTCCTCAATGTTTTCCCTTCTGTTAAAATCAATCACCCACCATAGTCCATGAGTGTATTTATAACAGTGTTTCAAAACACCTTTCGAAATACAGAATTTATAGTCTGCTACTGGAATTGGCTTTAGTTATCCACACTGAAGAGATAGGGAAGACTATCATGTGATTTGGAAATCCATACCATGTATAGCAAATGCTATCAAATAAAATATTATAAATCTATATACATGCCTAATATAAAAAAAGAAAATCCAAACAGAAGTAAAACTCTTCCCAAATTTTACTATAGCAATATCAATACTATAAATAGATAATTCATTTTGGTGACATGTTGAGGTAGATTCAGCTTCTGCATGGTACCATTAATAGTATGCTAGTTTTTTTCACATTTTAAAAAATGTATATATACTTTGAAAGTATAAATGTTTCTAGGTACATCTATTTTCTCTTCAAAAGAGAAAAATAATGCCAGTACATATTTGGAATGTTTGTACAGAATTATAACTGATGATTCATTGACCAGTCATTTAAATTTTATTTAAATTTTCTAAAACTTCTTGAGATTGAGATTCTCTTAACATCCTTGTATTTTCATAATAGCAACAGTATCCTAGTAAATAGCATTCTCAAGCAAAAAGTTTATTGCATAATCATGGGATCATTTGTTGCAGTAGCCATTTTACAGTCATTCTTAGTAGAAATAAGAATCAACTTATCAATCTTTCTTTTGCCACAACTCCCCAAAGGTAGAATTTAACTAACCAGTAATTTGGAAGGTATTGAATTAAAATCTCTATGATCATCTCAACCTGCGTTGTATTTTCATCAGTTTTTTCAGTGAATGAAAAATGATATACTGTTATCAGTAAGTGAAAGTAGTGTCATGGGCTTTTCTGTAGCCCTCATAACATTTCTGACTAGCCATATTTAAAATCCAAATGGTATTTAAATTAGACAGTGATGACTTCTTTTATTACCATGGCCTTTGGTAGTCTTTAACTTGAATATATATTATCATCAAGTACCATAACATTTTGGTAGGACAATAGAGTTTCATTCTAAAGAGGCATTCATTGTGGTAAATGATCATCACATATAAGTTTATCCAAAATACCTACCACTTGATTCACTGCAACCATTTCTGAAATATCTCATGTATTTATTCTTTGAAAGTAAAAAGGTTACTTTAATTTTTTTTAAAGAAATAACCCAAAGCTCTGGTCACACTTAAATTTCTAAGTTTCAAATTCACTCTACTGTCCATTCTTAAATGTAACATTATTCATCATGCATTCTGACAATTTTCTTTTTTTTAATTTCTTTTTTATGTTCTCACCACACCATTGTAATGTCTACAGCTCGTCCTGTTGGTAAGTAACCATCCTTCTTCCATATAGCATGGCTTTATGCAGTGCTTCATATATCATGCAAGCAATATTTGACTGAATGAACTATATTAGTTCAACCAAGCCATGTAATGTTAACATATTAGATGAGGGTTTGGCCATCAATAAAGTTATTTTAACCCTTTCATCACTATCACTTTGGATAAACTATATGTAGTGGCTTTTGCCATACAGGCAATTATTTGGGTACACAAAAAAAGTATGTGACTGAATTTTCTTAAAGAGACAGATAATAGATTTCCCTTTTCTTCTATGAAGTATCTCTAAAACACAATGATCAGTGGACCCTGTAAAGAGATTACATATGCTCAAGATTTATGAAGGAATTTATTAGTTATCTTCCTCTCTTCATTTTTAACTATTTTCAGTCGCAGCTTTTTTTTTTTTTGATGGGGGGAGGGAGTCTTAATTTTATTGCTATATGCTTATTGTCTGCATGCTTTAAAATAAATGTATGTTAAATGCTTTAGCAATCAAATTAGCATTACCTTCATGCTAATGTAGATAGTTACTTAATTGAAATAAGGTGAGGAAGGATTGTTGCAACAGCTGTTACTTTTGGCACAAAAAATTCATTTTAATGTTTTTCAAATTGCTCATCAAACAAATGGCTTCCACTACTAAGAGCTAAAGAGCCTATACTAGTTATTTCTTTGATAGTTAATTAGTAACAATATAGAATCCTAAAGGTTTAAACTATTAAGTAATACTTTAATTTTCCCTTATAAATATTAACTGAATAAAAACTCAGAGAACAATAAATTAAGATAAAAAATCATTTGATGATATTGTGATACCATTTATTTTGTACTCTTTGTCCATCTACATTTAATCTTTTGGAATAATTATGGCCAATCCATTAAGTAGGTCAAAATAAAAATAATATTACAAAGAAATATATTAATTTATTTAAATAAATGCATACTCCAGAGAGCTACATTCTAAATCACTGCTTCAGTGAATCAAACAACCCCTCAGTTACCTACAAAAGTTAATGCAGCTTTTAATGGTATTTTGCTTTTCTCCCACCCATATCTCTTAGACATTGACCTAATATTTTTGAAACGTACCTGTTACTTTTCCAAGTTATTCATGTGTGCTGCCAAAGCATTTGGGTCAATCAGTTTTATTTTAGGTATAATATGCATAAAGACTGGTCTTTTGAATTTACACAGTCAGAATCCTAGGATGTTAGATGTGTAAACTATACTACCTATACTCTACTCCACTTTCTTCATTTTATAAGTGAGAAAACTTGAGCCCTCTCCATTCTTAAGGTGTAATGTATTAAATTAAGTTCAGCAGCGATTTATTAAACATCTGTTGTATGCAAGGCACTGAGCATAGAAAAATGAAAAAAACAATACAATATAATCTCTATCCTTTAAGGGCTTATAATTTAATAAGATATCTGCAAAATCAAGAATGATGCAAGATAGAATATGAAAATTATAATGAGTAGGTCCAGACATTGTTGTCTAAGAAAATTTGAAGAGGGAAGAGTTACATTCGTCTGGGGAAATCAAGGAGGGTTAAATGGAGGAGCAAACATTTGCACTGGATCTTAAAAGTAGAGAAGAGCCATATACGCTCATATTGATGCCCATTTTAAGTAATCTTCCACATCTCCATCTGGAAATTCTGACTAGATGAGAAGTCTAAGAAAGAATATGAACAGTTAAGTAGTATAAACTGGGACAGAATATGACAATATTATAGTACTTTATTTTATATTACACATGAAAATGATTTCAATAGTCATCTCAGGATGTCTGAGTTAGAAATGCTCTTCTTCAGTTTATTTTTTTCCTTACCTAATAAACATTTTTTTCAAATATCAGTTTATTTCTGCTATAAGTTGGGGGTGATTTTAAAATCCAGTTTCTTAATTGAATGATAAAAAATTTCAAAAAACTTTATAAATGTCAGAATTTTATTTTGGAACTGAGAACTTGTAAAACTATCATTTAATATTTAAGCATCTAAACATAAAAAAACTTCATTACAATATTTGTACTTAGTTCTGTTTGCACTATTTATTTGCCTTTATATGTGGAAATGTAAACTGTATATCTAAGCTTGTCATTAGTAATTGGGTGGTTCAAAAGAAGGAGTGGGGTAGAGTGGAGTATGATGTGATTCTAAAAAGCAAAATGATCTAGGAAAAGGTAAAAAGAGTAATTATCTCATACAAATGAGATGCAAGAGGAAAAACTGATAGAGAAATTAGATGGAGGAGGAGAGCGGGTAGTTCTGGAACTCTACTCTTAATCAGGAATTGGTTAAAGAGGGAATAATACATACATAATTACATATAGATGTATATATGTATATATCTATATGTGTAAATGTCTTCTAAATTCAAAAAGAAGTAAGAGAGTAAGGGGATGGGTGGGAGAGGATAAGAGAGGGATTCGTGGAGGTGGGGTAGATTAAGAAATGAGAGGGTAAGATAGCACATAGAAGCAAAGTAGGGTAGTTAAGAGGGATAAAAATAGGGTGAGAAGTATACTGAGGAAGATGTAGAAGTAATTTCATTTTAGAATGTGAATGGGATGAATTTACCTACAAAATGGAAACTGATAGTAGATAAAAATTTGTATTCAACATTATGTTCTTTCATGAAATGCTAGAAAAATGAGAGATACAAATATAAAATAAAGGTAAGGAGTACAATTTATTATGTACAAAAGCAGGGATAGTAATCACGATCTCAGACAAAGTTAAAACTAAATCAGATTTAATCAAAAGAGAAAAATAGGGAAACTACACTGTCAACCAATTGATCAATAGTTTTAGACCATATAAAATAACTAGACAGTATAAAAAATATGACAGTATACCTACCAAAACTGACACAGGAACTATATGAATATAAACACAAAACACCTTTTATACAAAATTAAATCTAAATAATTGAAGTAATATTTATTGTGCATGGGTAGGAAAAACCAATATAATAAAAATGACAATTTAATATAATTAATATGTTTATGTAATAGCATCCCAATTGAATTACTAAAAAATTATCTTACTGAGTCAGAAAAAATAATAACAGTTCATTTGGAAGAACAGAGAGGGTCAGGAACTTCAAGGAAACCAGGAGGAAAAGATGTGAAGGAACTAGATTCAGTCATATCAGACCTTAAACTGTAGTATAAGGTGTGAGCAGAGATAAAGTGTAAAATGGATAATTTGGATTATTTCAAATTAAAAATGTCTTTGTATAAATAAAACCTGTGTAGCCGAGAATACAGGGAATGCAGAAAATTGGGGAAAAGCTCTCATAGACAACCTTCCAGATAGAATGTGATTGGGTCAGAATATTGTTGTTGTGTAGGAAATGATGAGCTGGTAGATTTAGAAAAAATATGGGAGGGGCAGAGCCAAGATGGTGGAGGGAAAGCAGTGACTTGCTTGAGCTCTCTCCCCAAACCCCTCCAAATACCTATAAAAATGGCTCTAAACAAATTCTAAAGCAGCAGAACCCACAAAAAGACAGAGTGAAACAAATTTCAAGCCAAAGACAGCCTGGATGGTTGATCAAAAAGGTATATCACGCCAGGCAGGGAGAGGAGCGCAGTTCGGCGTGGGTGCAGTGTCCCTGGAGCAGGCCTCAGAGGACTGAATCGCAGGCAGCTGTGGCAGTTTCCAGACTTCTCAACCCAGCAACGCCAAAGACAACTTAGAAGGTCAGTGGGAAAAGTCTGTGACTGTGGTGAGAGAGGAGCTAGGTCTCAGTCGCAAGTCTGGAGCGCAGCCAGGGGCTGCAACTGTTTCCTGAGCTTCCGGCCCACAGACTGAGGGGGAATCAAGTGGCTGATCAGAAGGGGATTGCGGGGATCTCTTTGCCAGTGCTGAGGCAGGAATCTCTTGCTTTACCGGGCTTGGATCTGGGTTACAGTTCTGAGGGGCAGTCCTGGGGTGAAGAAGAGTGCTGGTGTGGTGGAGCTTGTTGTGACAGTGGAGAGAAAACACCTCGCCCCTTATCATAGCACCTTGAAAGAATTGAAAATTTTCAGATCCCTAGAAGTACCTCTGAAAACAGCTGTACAAACCCCCGAAGCTTGGGACAGTACATTCTCCACATTGGAAGCAGACTTTTACCTTAACAAAGAGTTTAAAACTCAAGTAATTGACCAGGATCATGAGTAAGCAGCGCAAAAAGAGTCAGACTATATTGTCTTACTTTGGTCACAAAGAAGATCAAAACATACAATCAGAAGAAGACAACAAAGCCAAAGCTCCTACATCCAAAGCCTCCCAAAAAAATATGAATCAGTCCCAGGCCTTGGAAGAGGTCAAAAGGGATTTTGAGAAGCAAGTAAGAGAAGTAGAGGAAAAACTGAGAGTGATGCAAGAAAATCAGGTAAAACAAGTCAACAGCTTGCTAAAGGAGACCCAAAAAAATACTGAAGAAAGTAACACCTTAAAAGATAGCCTAACCCAAATGGCAAAAGAGGTCCAAAAAGGCAACAAGGAGAAGAATGCCCTAATAACAAAATTGGCCAAATGGAAAAGGAAGTCCAAAAGATTAATGAAGAAAATACTTCCTTAAAAATTAGAATAGAGCAATTGAAAGCTAGTGACTTTATGAGAAATCAAGACACTGTAACACAAATCCAAAAGAATGAAAAATTAGTAAACAATGTGAAATATCTCATTGGAAAAACAACTGACCTGGAAAATAGAACCAGGAGAGAGAATTTAAAAATTATTGGACTCTCTGAAAGCCATGATCAAAAAAAAAAAAAAAAAGAGCGTAGACATCATCTCTCAAGAAATTATCCAGGAAAACTGCCCTGATATTTTAGAACCAGAGGGCAAAATAGAAATTGAAAGAATCCACCGATCACCTCCTGAAAGAGATCCCCACAGGAAAACTCCTACGAATATTGTAACCAAATTCCAGAGTTCCCAGGTCAAGGAGAAAATATTACAAGCAGCCAGAAAGAAACAATTCA